CCGTCAGTCCCCAGGCTTTGAGTCTTCTTCACTTGGGGGTTCCCCAGATAGTTCCTCCCCCCCCTTCCTCTGCATCCAACCAGTGCATGACACTTGGGGGCCAAATGCAGCTCTCCAGACATCTTCATTTTCCCCTCAGGACTCTCCACAGATCACACCTATCAGTGGCCTTTCTCAAGAGCTTTTGCCTGGCTGGTGGGTGTCCTTCATCTCCATCCATGTCTCGTGCTTGTGTGTGTGTGTGTGTGTGTGTGTGTTTGTAAATAGAAACCTGAAGCTCTTGCAGTGCTAGAATCTTGCTTACTGCGGACACTTTTGGATTTTCAAGTGAGTGTCCTGGGTGCCACCCCCTCTGGTCACTTCTCTTCCCCCATCCCACCCCCCTGGAGCACACCCCCCCCCCACTAGCACAAATCCACAAAGAAAGTGAGAGATTTTCCAAGGGGGTTCAGGTAGAAATTTGGTCCAGTGGAATTAATCCAATCCTTGAAAATCAGAGTTGAAGGAGAGAGGCTGCAAACCTGCCATAAGGGATAAGGCTACCAAAGGCTAGTAGCCACAGTCGCTGTGCTGCACCTCCACGGCCAGAGGCAGCAATGCTGGGAGCCACAGGAGCAGGGAGGGCTCTTATTATTATTTATTATTTGTACCCCGCCCATCTGGCTGGGTTTCCCCAGCCCCAACAAAGATTAAAAATACCGTACACCAAAATGTCACACATTTAAAGCTTCCCTAAACAGGGCTGCCTTTAGATGTCTTCTAAATGTCAGGTAGTTGTTTATTTCCTTGACATCTGATGGGAGGGCGTACCACAGGGCGGGAGCCACTACCGAGAAGGCCCTCTGCCTGGTTCCCTGTAACTTGGCTTCTCGCAGCGAGGGAACCGCCAGAAGGCCTTCGGAGCTGGACCTCAGTGTCTGGGTAGAATGATGGGGGTGGAGACGCTCCTTCAGGTATACTGGGCTGAGGCCGTTTAGGGCTTTAAAGGTCAACACCAGCACTTTGAATTGTGCTGGAAATGTACTGGGAGCCTTGTGCTTGAACTCTCCCTGCTGGCTTCCCATTGGGGTCGTCTGTTTGGCCACTGTGGGAACAGGATGCTGGGCTGGAGGAGCCACTGGCCTGATCCAGAAGGGTCTTCTGATGCGTGCAGCCAAAATGGGAAGGAGCACCACTCTTTCAACATTCTTCTTCAGCTCTGTGTACTGTTCAAGAGGGGGAAAGGACCCGCATCACCTCCTGGGGAGAGTGAGTTTGGGAGGGGGGTCATCTGTGATTATTGCACGATGTATGCCTAGCTAAACTAAAAACATCAGTGCTATTTAGAAGAGCGTTATGGCATCCGATCACATTCAAAAAGTAGACGAAAGCCTCTCCTTGATCTCAGGAACCACCATGCAAAATCTGGTATCTTAAGAGGTCTCCAAACGAAGAGCGGACAAACAGACAGGCAACCTTCCTAAGTACAGAGTAGGCCAGGTGACAGCTCCCTGCCCCAAGGAACCTCCATTAAATTCTGTAAGCCTCAGCTATTATAAGGCCCCAATCTTCTGGGGCTTTAAAATTGTTCTTTAGGAGTAATTGCTTAGCCATTCCTGTGAATCAACAGTCTCCAAGCTCAACACCTTCTTGAGCAAAGGGAGGTTGATCAGACCTAAAGGTTTTTGTGACAGTTCCAGCAACCACCGCCCTGTTTCTCGCTAGGGTGGGTCCATCCTGCAGCAGCCAAAATGTGGTTTCTCGGTTCTGGGTGTGTAGCAACATCCCCTTCCTCTTGTTTTGCTGGGTAGGGCACATGCCACCATGTTTTTTTCAGCAAAAATACAAAAAGCAACCACAACAATTTGGTCACCTCACTTGTGCCGGGAGAGAATTGGATGCTGCAGCCACCAGCGCTTGGGGGCCCAATCCATCAGAGCAGGTGAGCCTGGAAGAGAGGGGAGCTGGCAGCTATTTAACTTTCCTCCTGTCCATCTTTCCATTCATAATTATCCACCTGTCCACATAAGCTCCTGCTTTCAGAATTGCACACATCATGCATTTAAAGCACATTCCACCCAACCAAGAACTGCAGCCTCGCCTTCATGGAGTTACCGTTCCCAACACTCTTAACCAAACAACAGTTCCCAGGATTCTTCCCGGGGGGGGGGGCGTGCTTTGAATGCATGGTGATTCTGCAGTCCCTCTCTTGCCTTCTGCATCTGCAGTCCTGGTGACTTCAGAGGATGCCCTCTTTCACGACAGATTCTGCATCTAGACCAGTATTGCTTACTCTGACTGGCAGTGGCTCTCCAGGGTGACCTCTGGTTGAGGAGGTTTGTTTGCTGTTTGATCCTGGAGTTGCCAGGGATGGGATGTGGGGGGTGGATTTATGGAAGGGCTACAGCTCAGTAGGTAGAATGCGGGTTTGAGCCCCACACTGGGGAAATGTTCCTAGTTTGCAGGATGTTGGACGAGATTATCCTTGGGGTCCCTCCCAACTCTACAATTCTATGATTCCTTCCCTGAAAAAATAGGGATCCTAGTCCTCATGGTCCTATTAAAATAGGAAATGTAGAAAGCTGCTTTACAATGGCTCAGATAATACCCTTCTGTCTTGTCTCCACTGACTGCTTCTTTGCCATCGCCTGCTAAGTGATTCTTTGATAAAGGGAGAACCTGGGACCTTCTGCATGCAGGACACCTGCTCTTGCACTGGGCTCCGTGGCAGAGCATCTGCTTTGCATGCAGAAGGTCCCAGGTTCAATCCTGGTCATCTCCAGGGAGGGCTGGGAATGCCCCCTTGCCTGAAGCTCTGCAGAGACACAGCAGCCGCTGCAGACAATACTGAGTGAATGGTCCAGTGGTGGACTCAGAACAGGGCAGCTTCCTGTATCCCAGTCTGAAACCGCCCTTCTTCTAGAATCACGAGGATTAGAGTCTTACTTTAGGGCAGAGGTGCCCAAGGAGGGTGGTATTGTCCGGGGGGGGGGGGGCAGCATGGAGGGTTGGAAGTTTTAATAAATGTCTATCTGACTTTGAAAAGCTGGTCTCTGAATCAGCTTTGTCGAATTAATGAAACCAAGTAATTCTAATTGGGTTTTGAATCAATGTGCACTTAATTGTAACTGTTCCGAATGTCATTGCGTTAGCTCAGTTGGCTACAGCATGGTGCGGGCAAAGGCAAGGTTGCCGGTTTGATCCCCGAATGGGACCGCTGCATATTCCTGCATCGCAGGGGGTTGGGCTAGATGACCCTCAGGGTCCCTTCCAACTCTACCATTCTATGAGATTATGCTCCTTCGTGGGTTGTGTTGACTGCTCTTATATATGGAGGGGTTGTGGGCGCTGGGGGTGAGTTTATGGGACCAAGGAGGCCTGGAGAAGTTTGAGAGCCGCTCCTTCAGGAGAAGAAGCATCGCTCAGTCTGACCCACTGCAAGGCAGTTCCCTATATTCCAGGGCTCCTCGCCTGCATTCATCTCCCTCCTTCTGTGGTCTATTCAGATCTATCTCCCTCTTCACATGCCCACGTCTCTCTGTCTCTCTGCTGGGGTTCCAGGCTTTCCACATCCACCTGCGATGCCTTACTTTGCTTAATGCCTTTTCTTCTTCATTTCAACACTTTGATCCGAGAACTGGGGTGACGCACGGGGGTTGCTGCTGTGGTGTTTTTTTCCTTCCCGGCACCTAGAGCCTCAATTAAGACTTGCAAAAGTTGCAATGCGCAAATCATAAAGAACATTGCAACGCAAGCCTCTGCAGATGTTGAGAAACAGGACATGACTTCTTCTTTAACAAATAAAATCCTGCAATTTCTCTAGGAGCTTAGGCCGGCGTATAGAGCATGTGCGTGCCGTGATTCCTTCCCTTTGCTTTTATCTCCGCAACAACCCTGTGGGGCAGGCCAGGCCAAGGGCGCTACTGGCCCACGGTCACCCAGCAAGCTTTGAGCCCATGGCCCCCTCCAATTATTCTGAAATGAATAATAATATTCACTGTGAAGAATACGGTGCCTAGACAGTCCCCTGTGGCGACCGTAACCCAGGAGCGGAAAGAGGCACGTGCCTCCACACTTCTCTCTTCTGGGTGTTTGTGAGGGCAGATTAAGGACGCAGGAAGCTGCCTGGTCCCACTTCCGCCTGGTCTCTCATGCACACTCAAACACACACTCTTTCTGTGGGTGGGGCTTTGTTTTAATTAAACAATTTGGACATAAAAAATAGAGCAGGCTGCCTTTCAGTCTGAATTTACCATTTAAGCAACTGCATTTAGCAAATAACTGCAGCACCAAGAGAACAATATAAGGCAGGAACAATAATGCGATGGCATCTGCAGAGAAATGTTGCAGCGCGTGGCATCTGCTTACACACCACAGGTGGTACTTGACCGCCTTTCACTTAGTCTGCCCATTAATGAATGTGACCATGTTAGTTCTATTCATTTCAATAGGTATACTTAGCTGAACGGATCTACTTAAAGCAACAAAAGCCATGTAAGCCTACGTTAAGGAAATAAGTAAAAAAATGAATATTGTATACCATTTTATGTAAGCCACTTTGAGATTTATTTGATTAATAGATAGATCTTGCTCCGTAAATCAATAAAATATCAAAATGCATGGTGAACGAGAGGTCAGGTGAGCCGTTGCTGTTTCTCTACAGCTGTTTTTTTGGTATGCACTCCTCTCAGCAAAGCAATATCCACACCCCTTCCGCAGCAGCAAAGGAACTTGCGGTTCCTCAATACTTATTCCTCTTCATCCAGCGTCATGCACTGATTGACGGATGAGTAAGAACAGAAAACGTGTTGTGCTTTGCTCTGAAATGATGCCACCGGAACACCCCCCCCAAAAAAAGGGCAATACCAGGAACTGCTAAAAAGAGGGAGCACATCCTTAAAAAACAGGAAACATGACCTCAGGTGACCTCTTTCTCATTTCAACAACCTCTCCTCGTTGACTCTCCTTTCTTCTCTTAATTTTGCAGAAATTTGGCCAAGATGGAACTCTGGACCGGCCATGGACCACGGGTGGGGCTCTGGTGAAATTGTGACAGCCATAGTGAGGGCACCCCTGCTTGCTTCCCAAGTGGGTGCAGAGACTGAGTGAGCTGCTGGTTCTTCTCATGTTTGAGACCTTGTTTGACAACCATCAGCTCAAGAAGACACACAGACTTCTGACTTTCACCAGGCATCACACCTTGTGTCCATTATTGCGAGATCCTAAGCAGTGGACATCGCTTTGCCTCCATCAAAGGCCAAGAGTGCTCCTGTGTTGCCTCAAACAAGTCTTCCCAAGAAGAGGCCCAGTTTTGTTTCCGTACTGATCCATCAAGCAATCTAGAAGATGACTGACATGGAGCTCTTCAACTCCACCTCCTCGCCCTCTCCTTGGACGGCCCTCCCCACGTCTGTCCCAGACCCCCGACTTGCTTCGGCCCATCGCCCAGAACTCTGTTACCCAACGACGGACACAAACCACGTCAACATCATCCTGTACCATTACAACTTCACAGGGAGGATGCAGAATCGCCGTCCCCAGGAAGACCAGATGAGCGTCCTGAAGATGGTCATTATTGCTGCCAGCTGCCTCATCATCCTGGAGAACCTGGTGGTGCTGCTGGCCATCATCCGCAAAGTGCGCACCCGCCGGTGGGTCTACTCTTGCCTGGCCAGCATCACCCTCAGCGACCTCTTAGCCGGCACGGCCTACTTGATCAACCTCTGGTTGTCGGGGAGCCGGACCTTCCAGCTGTCGCCCACCATGTGGTTCCTCCGCGAGGGGGTCCTCTTTGTTGCCCTGGCGGCCTCCACCTTCAGCCTGCTGGTGACAGCCGTGGAGCGCTACAGCGCCATGGTGAAGCCCATCGCCGAGAAGGCGTCCAGCAAGACCACCCGCCTGAGGGCCCTCTTCGCCTTCTGCTGGAGCCTGGCCATCCTCATTGGCCTCCTCCCCTTGCTGGGCTGGAACTGCATCTGCCACGTCTCCCGCTGCTCCACGCTCCTGCCCCTCTACGACAAGAACTACATCCTCTTCACTGTGATCGTCTTCAGCATCATCCTGGTGGGCGTCGTGGGCCTCTACGCCTCCATCTACTGCTGGGTCCAGAAAAGCGCCCAGCAGACCTTCTCTCGGGGCAGCCGGAAGAGGTCTCTGCGGCTGCTGAAGACGGTGCTGGTCATCCTCTGCACCTTCCTCATCTGCTGGACGCCTCTCTTCATCCTCCTCCTGATAGATACCTTTTGGGGGAACACAGCCTGGGCTCCCCCTAAGCTCTTTGGCTGGATCTTGACCTTGGCCGTGACCAACTCATTCATCAATCCCATCGTCTACGCCTTGGGGAGCAAGGAGGTGAGGAGGGCTGTCGTGGAGCTTCTCTGCTGCTGCTGCATCTGGGCCGGGGTGCGCGGCCCCCGAAACTGCCTCGTGGCCAGCGATATCCATGCCAGCTCTTCCACAGGCTCCTTGAGAGGGCGTGGCAGCTTCCGTAGCCCAGTAGCCTTCAGCAGGAGAGCCAGAGAACCTCTCTCCAGCAATTCAAGTGTGCTGAGCAATGACACTTCAGGGCTGCACCACACCCAGGACTAGAATTTCCACTCTGAGGAGGAGAACCCTCAGAACTTGTCTAAAAGATTCTGTTGTGCATGTCTTCAGGTGGTTCAGAGGAAGACCAGAAACCTCAAAGACGACTGTAGTAATAGCAGGGACTACCCCCCCCCCAGACCTGGCAGGAAGAGGGAGAGGTCGCTAGGTGTTGCAAGTCACAAGCCAAACGGTAAAGCTGCCACCACCTCCTTTCCTGGGCCACCCTCAAATGGGGCTCAAGGAGGAGAACCCCCCTTCGATATTTACCAGGTTGCCCAGCCCTGTGTCACTATACCGTGACACAGACAGAAATTCAACAGGTAGGTGTCCTAAACAGCCAGGCACCAGTTTAGTTTCTCCTGGCAAAAGGCACAGAATACGAAAGGCAAAAGTCCTTTTCCAAGTTTATTGAAAAGGCCACTCAAAAAGTTGGCACAGTCCTTGAAAGTTTATAAACAGAAAATAAAAACGTTATAAAATATAGCTAACTAAAAACCATACTCATGCAATAACCGTTCAGAGCACAGCAAATAGTCAAAGTCCCTTTACTGGTCAAACGCCCTCAGGCAAAACACCAGGGCAAGATGTTCTGCAATTTGCATCTGAATTCCCCAAACCCTTTATCCTTGAACACCCCACTAGGAGGATCATTTCTTTAGGTTAATTACCAATTTGCCAATGGCTGTATGATGAGACTATATTTCCTGATTGTTGGGAGTCCAGCACAGCTGAACTTTGTTTATGCTCAGGGGCCTTGAGGTCAAAAGGCTCTCCCTTCCTTCCTTCTCTGACATGTACCAGCCTCTTGAGTTGCAGATTACTGGCTAGCCTCCTGCACCTTTTCACACCCAATCCACATTCAAGCCTCCAGCTGCCCGGATCTGCAAATCAGATAACATCTCAACCTGCCCAGAGTCAGGATGCAATTTAACTCACACTTCTAGAGACAGGGAGTTTTATATTTAAAAAGACCAGACATCCATTCCCCACAAGGCCACAGTTTTAACTCTCCCACAAAGCCTCACTCCAGCACGAACCAGCGTTAACATACCAAGCTCTCCCAACTTCACTACAACGACAGCACCATTCCTATTGCTGCAATGTAGTCCCTGGTCTGTATTTTGTCTCACTGTTGTATATTTTTAAAATTACATATATGCAAGTCTGAACAAGAAAACTATTTGATCCAGATTTTTCCACCAAGGTGGAATTTTTAACACCTTTGGATTGATGTGTGAATTGCTAATTCTTCTTTGCAATCAGCCAATCAGAAAAGGTGGGCTATTTCCATTTTAACCCTACCCATTGAAATTAAAGGACTTAGTATACTTATACTTTACTTATACTTAATTTAAATGGGTCTACTCTGAGTATACCTTGGTGGCATACAAACCCTATGATGTGATGGGGTTTGTGGGATGGACTGACAGGGCCCCCTTGAATATTATTGCAATCGGCCACCAGGCAGGATGAACCTCCTGACACTCTTAGTGGACAGTCCAGCTGAATTTCTCAGCCCTGAGCCATTTTATAGAAAAGCTCAGCCAACACAGAAGATAAACTGCAGAGGCAAGAAACCCAAGACCCTCTAGGGGGCACTGCTGAGCTGCTTTGGAATGCAGAGGTTCTGAACAGAGGCTGCTAGCCACTGATTGTGCCCACTATGGTTTGCCAGGCTTGTCTGGATGGGCAAACCATGGTGGTCAGCAATGCTGCAGCTGCTGAGGCCCCTCACCCTCAGGACAGGGGGGCTGAACAAAGGGGGAACAAAGGCAGCCCTAACAGCATGGTTTGTCTGTGTGCTTGGATGCTTAAACCATCTCTTGGGTTCTGAATTACGATTAACATTACATTTCAGGGCTGTAGCTCCGTGGCAAAGTTCCTCTTTCCCAATAAACAGATCCCAGGTTCAAGAGTGGGAAGGGACCCTGAGCATCATCTAGTCCAACCTCCTGCAATGTAGGAACAGGCAGCTGCCCCATACAGGGCTCAGACCGTGGGCGTTCTCAGCACCAGCTCTAACCGACTGAGCTACTCAGGCCAGGGCTGGGGAAGACCCTCACCTGAAAGCTGGGAGAGGAGGAAGCCAGAAGGAGCACGCTGGCCGGGTTTGTTATAAGGCAGCTTTCTAAGGTTTGGGGAGTGCTTTGCACTGAGCCCCAGAATTTAGGATAAGGACTTCCCCACCACCCAAAAAATAAATGAACTGGGTAAAGATCTAACACGATGCTGCTCAAATCTAATGGAGGCAGGAGCACCCGAACTGTGCAACATGACGCTTTGCTCTCCAACTCAGGGAAGGCAACAGGTATTGTAGCACAGGAGCTTAGCATGACGGTCCCTACTCACGTGTAGCATTTACACACATACTAGCAGCACACCCAAAGAGGGCTCGGATCCAGGATTCTTTTTCTTCAGGCAAGGAGGAATAATCCTTCCTTTCGAAGAAATGCCATTGATGGGGGGGGGATTCTGCGAGTGGATGGGGGGCAATTTTCACAGGTCTCCACAGACTTGGAAGGACCCTGGAGGGTCAATCTAACCCCCTGCAAGGCACATGTGGTCCCCGGTCCAGTGTGAAACCATACCAGACCTGCTTAGCTTTGCAAATGTGTGAGTAGTTTTATTGCTGCACCAGTCACAGGGATTCCACGTTTTGTTTTGTTTTTAATGGAGTGTCAGGGCTGAAATCAGATACAGGTCAGCAGGAAAGATGCAAGGCTTAGTTGTCAGTGAAGTTCAAGGAAACAGCGCACAACTCTTGCCCCATGGAGCCATTGCCAGGAGTGAAGGTCCCTCTCTAAGGCTTCTCCTCTCCCAGGGGTTTCCCAAGCAGTCTCAAACTGCGCCTGCGCACCTCTGGCCTCTGTTCTGCCCTCCACATTATTCTGAGCCTTCCAGGAGACCAGGGCACAGGGGAGCTTGTCGCACCAAGAAGGGGAGACTCCCTTGCTTCTTCAGCAGCCTCTTGACCCCTCCCTCCTCTGCGTCAGCCTCAGAGTCTGAACTGCTCCCTGTCGTAGAATCCTCCTGCTCACTAAGCCCTGTTGCTCCTCCCCTCTGACCTCCTTGGTGTCCCACCGCCAGTCCTCTGGCTCTGAGCCTTCCTCTGGGGTTTTCGGGGGGGGGATGGGTGCACCTCCTACCACTCCTCTGTCCAGCCAGTCCATGACATTAGGGTTCCTCATATCTGGAGCAGATATGAGTGGGGAGCTGCATGAGGAAGAAGGGGGTGTTTGACAAAAGTCACTTCTCCCTGCTCTCCTTTAAGAGTCAGAAAATGGAGACAGGCTCCCTGTAAGGAAGGAACAGGGGGCTATTACAACCCCGGGGGGGGGGAGTGCATGCTTGGGCTTTGGGTGAGACCCAGAGGCAGTAAGTTTGGGGCTACAGGGGTGCCAATTTGAATAAAATATTGGTCCAACCCAGGTAAGCCCTGCCCCACATAATGGATCACAAGATGTGGCATATGCACACCATTTGAATGGCAATGCCAATCGCCTGGGGGGGGGCTGCACCCCTCAACTATTTTAGGGGGGGGCAAAGGGATCCTGGTCCCCAGAAGTTGGCTCCTGTGATTGGCTACGTTCCAACCACATGACACTTACACAACCCCTGCCATCCAGGCCAGCAAAAGGCATTATCATAGTTCAGTGAGACATCCCAGGTAGGCATTGCAGGGGGTTGGACTAGATGGCCCTTGGGGTCCCTTCCAACTTTACAGTTCTATGATTCTGAAATCCAAACTATTCTCCCTGACACTTCGCTGCCAACTGACTGACTGGAACCTCCAGCCAATCAGAGTCTGCTCTCCGTCTACCCAGACCAATCAGACTGAAATTAACTGACCCAGGCCCCACCTAATAAAATTTCAAAGTGGTCCTTTCTCTCTCTCTCTCCTCCATCACAACCTGTCACCAAAGCAGGCTGGGAGCTTCATTGACAGTACAAGTGCCCAAACCACAGGATATTGCTTTCTCCAAAATATGAGCACAAACAGGCATAGATCATTGCAGCAATTATCCACAGATTTTGCATGATGGACACCGTTAGCAATGGCTGCTTCCAAGCTCTCTGCTCTTTCTTCACAGACTTTATTGAAGAATTTAATAACAATAACCAAACTAAAAGCATTCTCTTCCAAGACAAATGCATGTATAGATGCTAAGCCTTGTGCGCAGTCGTCCGCGTGGCGTCAAAACAAACCTTGAAAAACCCTTGCATTACAGATACAGCTCACACCCACAGGGTCTACTTCAGTCTAAAGCATTACTCTAATTTCTCCATAGCTGCTGTTTGCAAGCTTGTGGTTGGTTGTTGGGGATCATCTTCATGGAAAGAGGCACACATGGTTTTAAATGTTTTTATTTTTAAAATGGTTTAAAGGTATTTCTGTACCACTTCAGTGCAGACAATATTCAGCCAGGTGGACTCAGTATAAATCAGCTTCCTAGTTGGATTGCCTTAAATTGATACACCCTATTGTGTGAGGCTCCACATTTGGCGAACGAATTTGCTATGGATTTACTCCGAGGGAAATGTTCGCACGGAATCAGCCCGTGTGCATCTTTGCTTACTTGCAAGCCCTCGTTTGGCCACAGGGGGGCGCTTTAAACTCGCCCATGCAGGAAGCATCCTGAGCTCATACTGGCAGGGCGGCGTCGCACTCGGCTCACCCAGCCACAAAAAAGGCACTTCTGTCGTTTGCGGGGAGAGCTGGCTGCCCACTCCCCAGGTCTGTCTTGAAAAGCAAGCAAATCCATCTTTCCAAACAAACCACAGCAGTGGCGTAGCGTGGGGGGTGCAGGGGGGGCCGGGCGCAACATCTGGGGTTAGGGCAAATCCACGGGTTAGGGGGCGCAAATCCACAGGTTAGGGGGCACAAATCCACGGGTTAGGGGGCGCAAATTACTTGCCTTGCCCCGGGTGCTGACAACCCACGCTACGCCGCTGAACCACAGTAAAGGAAAAAGGACCCCTGACCATTAGGTCCAGTCGTGGCC